TTTGATCCTATAGGAACTCATTTTCAGACCCTCTGCATGTTGGTCCTTAGCCCTTGCAACTAGAAGTTGAGTGCTTGGGACCATTCGTGCGAGTTTTCACAAAAATGAGTAAAGAAGCGGTTTGAAGTTCTATGGGAGGTGGGCTCCATTACTAGTCCGCTAGGATGGTCAACCAGGAACTCCTAAGGCTAGATCCTAGGTTCTAAGATTAGGAGGCTAAGACTTCACTAAAAATGAGGTCAACAAAGGTATCACACTTCTCATATTTTTGCAAGTTCATAGTTATGTAAAAAAAAATCAAGAAGAAAACCTCCCATGATACGAAATTTGTCATAACCAAACTATCAAAGAAGAGGAAAATTATAGGGAGCTTACCTCAACTGACCACTAAATCAGAGATGATGAAAACAAGAAAACCCAAAACAAAAGCTCCAGAAATGAAGTAAGCTCCACCGAAATTTCAGCCCTGAAAGTTCCCTACAGTTCTCCCTTCTCCCTCTCCTAGCTCTCTCTCTCTCTCTCTCTCTCTCCTTAAGATAAGAAATTTTGGCAGCACTTCCCCTTTTCTTTTAATTTTCGGCCAAACTCAAAACCCTCCCCAAGTGGGGTTTTTATAGCAAAGAAAGGAGAAGAGCAGCCACCTACCAACCTCTCTAGTCAGCAAATCAGGTAAAGGGAGAGGATGAGAAAGATTTAAGGCAAGAGGAAATGCAGCCTAGGGCAGAGGAATGGTCGGTCAGGTGGAGTTCCACCGTTGGGAAGCTGCTCGGTCGAGCAGAGATCGAGGAGGCCGCGTGCGCGAATGGACCGCGTGTGAGGGAAGAGGAAGGCGAGCCACCTCATGCGCAAATGACAGAGGAGATGATGAATCAGGCTTCGGGAAAGAGGGGCGAGCCACGGGTTGCGCCTGTTAGGGCTTGCGATCGAACCAGTAGACGCGTTCGAGAGCTGCGATAGGGAGGCGCGTGCGGTGAAGTAGGGATTAGGGTTTTAATAATACTATAAGTGATAAAGATATAAAATAGTTTAATATTTCTTAAAAATAAAATTCAATTCGTACTTTTCAACCGTGCGTCAAAACATAACAAAATTGGTATCATTTTTAGGTAATTTTGAAGTTACGGGCGCGCTCGCGCGGTTTATTTCGCCACCAGAAGTCGTTTTGATGAATTCATCGATTTGCGTGTCAATTTTCTCGTGTCGAAAATATGGCAATATGGGTGTCCTTTCTTACCAAAATTGGTATCCCGGATGTTCCGGAGAAGTTCGCATTTTCACCCGTCCTTTAGGCTTAATTGAAGTCCGATTTCGTGCAATTTTGTGAACTTTGTGTATTTGATGTGTGTATGTGATGAAAAAAAGTCGTGACGATATTTTCTTAAGGCTTGAAGTCTTATTAGGAATTTTTCCCTTGAGTCTTCGTAAAATAACCCATAACTGCTCGTTCATAAGACGATGGTCTTGTGCCAGGGGTAATGACAGTTTTATCAGTACCCCTGGTTTGATTGGGAAGCCCTGAGGCGGGAGAGTGAACAAGATGAAGAACTGAGGAAGATTAGGGTATATTTGATTTAGGATTTGAGCAATCATCTGGGATATACATTGAGGGGACAACAACTACTCCACCTAAGGACGATTCATGTTACTGACAGCATTGGGGTACATCCCCAAGCTGTTGCATGAGTTTCATGATAGCGCAATTGGGGGTGACTCAAGGGTACGAAAGACATACAATCGACTGTCGGCGGAGCTATATTGGGTAGGGATGCTCAGAGATATAGAGGACATAGTGAAGAGATGCGATTTTTGTCAATGACATAAGTATTTGACTATGACACCAGGAGGGTTACTACAACCCCTAGCTTTGCCTGAGAATGCCTGGAAGGAAGTGGAGATGGATTTTATAGAGGGATTGCCATGATCAGAGGGATTTACTGTGAGCAATTATATAGACTTTATTACATCACGACATCCTTACACTGTTGTCTCAGTTGATGTCGTGTTCATACGGGAAGTTGTTCATTATTTTTCAGAATACATTGTATCAGACTGACAAGGTGTTTTTCTACTTTTTTTTGGAAAGAAATATTCAGATTGCAAGGGACAATCTTAAAAAGGAGTACAACATATCATCTTCAGACAGATGGCTAAACGGAAATGGTCAATCAGAGTGTGGAGATGTATCTTCGTAGTTTTGTATCTGATATGTTGAAACTTTGGGCAAGATAGATTACTTGAGCTGAATATTAGTACAACACTTCATACCATTTTGCAACACAAACCTCGCCTTTCAAAATTTTGTACGGGTGGGATCTACTTCACATGATACATTATGGGCATAACACTACATCAGTATCCATTATAGACTGGTACTTGAAGGAGAGGGGAATGATATTGGCAAAGCTTAAGAGACATCTACAGAGGGCCCAATAGATCAGGAAGAGGAAGGTTGATGGACGAAGGAGGGAGGTATAACTTAAGCCCAGAGACGTGTTTTATTTAAAGTTGAGACCTTACCGGCAGAAGACACTGGTCAGGATGAGCATGAATATGTTTGGGGGTGTTTTATTAGTGCTTGGTTTTTGTTTTGTATTCCTGCAACTTTCTCTTTTGTTTGTTTGTCCCTGACGACACCTAGGGTTGTTGAAGAGCTGATTTACCTCTCGAATTATAGATTATCCTTGTATCTTATTTGTTGTCTGGATATTAATAAAATTAGTCTGAATCTTGGTTTTCCCCTTAATTTCTTGCAATTTGTTCGCTGTTTTTGGCTACAAGGTGTATCATCTTCCTATATATTTATATGCAGTTCTATAAGGCCTTGGATTAATTTGTGCATGTTTCAACCATCATCGTTGGATGTGGTTCCTTCATTGCTTTTGATATTAAAAAGAAAAGGGAAGAGGAAAAAGAGCTCAACGCCATTGCTATTATGTACTGGATTAAATGAAGCGTAATTTGTTCGAATTCCTGCTAAGGCTGCTATTCTCCTATTAGTTTTGTCTAATTATGGGAAATATCATTTCTAAGCCAGTTGCACCCCCAATTGCTGTTTGTGGGGGAGGACATAGGAGGAGCTTAAAGAGGTGGCTCAAAACGTCAAAGGATGTGATAACAGGATTTATTTAGGAAATAAGGTTAAAAAATCCCCGTTCAATAAAGTAAATGCATTAGCTTTGTAATTTATGTATTATGGACTTCGATCATTTATTTGGACGCTTGTACAGCAACATGGTAGCATTGGTTTCTTAGATTTATGTTAAGGCTCGTTTTAAGCTGAAAAATTGAATGGGCTGGCATAGTTGAGTACATATTTCAAGACTGTTTGCAGTAGATTTAGGGACTGCATTGCAAGTCACAATACTTGTTTCATCTTATTTTTTAAGTTGCAAAAGAGAGATTATTTGGTCAAAGCAATGGAAGCTGCATATTTTTAACATTTTAGGATATGATGATTAAGTCTTAGCATATCATTGAACCTAATTTTGTGAAAGGATAGATTCGTAAATAGCTTTGTAGTTCTTCTTCGATGTAATTTTCTCATTGTGTGTTTCTTCCTGCTTGACTGATTTTTTTAATTTTTTGCTATTTTTAAATTTATTATTATGATTTTTAGTTTTTTTAATTTTTATTTATTAATTTTTTTATTTTTGCAGTTTGATTCTTTGAAAGGAACTTTGCGTCACTTTAGCCTCATTCCTACTGGTGGGGGCGGGTTTCTGACCCATGCTATAGCTCACATAGCATCCTCTGTAAAGGTGAAACTTTCTTCACAATCTTTCAATTAGATAATTCATTTGTGATGCCTTTTACTTGTAATGCTCTTGCTTCATTGGCTCTCTCTTGAATATTTTTCTTATAAAGGGTCTTGTAGAAGTTTATAAATGTCTCATCTTCTAGTACAATGGATAATCTCATTTCTTTGGTTCAGTCTCATGTGAGCCACCACTCTTTGTGCGTAACTTTTAGCCACCACTCTTTGTGCGTAACTCGTAACTTTTTTTTTTTTATTTTCCTATGATTTTTCTCGTCTTAGATTTTTTATGTAAAATCTATGTTATTATTTTTCTTTCATTGTAGATTTCTTTGATTTAATAACAAGTTGTTATCAAGAGATGCTTTTTTTCTTTTAATTCTGATGATGGCAAGAATGAAATATAATATTCCGCTCATGGATCAGAACGTCAGAATTTTACTTTGGCAAGTTAAGATGTAGGCTGTTTTGGCGCATTTGAATTTTGATGTTGCGTTGCTAGGATTTGACAAATTGCCCCCATCGTGGATGCCGTGGAAAATAAATAATGCAAGGATTGAAAGGGTTTATCTTAGATTCATTTTCATTCGTCAAATCATATTTTATAGGAAATTTTGAAGGAGAATATGCCCATTGTGTAATGGAAGAAATTAAAATAATTATGCATGAAGAAAAGTTTCACCAATAAGTTGCATTTGAAGTAGCATTTGCACTCTCAAAGGATGTTTGATGTTGAGTCTCTTGTAGATCATTTGATTAACTTTAAAGAAATTATTTTTGATTTAGAGGCTATTGAGGTTTGGTATGACAACAAAAATTTGTAATAATTCTCTTATATTTGTTGCCTTCATCATGCGCAATATTTAGAGACACCGTCTTATATGGTCGAGGGACACTTATTTTGATTGTAATTTATATGATGCCTTGTTCTTTAAAGAGAAGATATGCAGCTTGTGGATGAACCTATTACTTAAGGAGAATGCCTTGTTTGAGGGAGGACTTGAGAGACAAGTTTTGGTGCTGATATGAAGGTGTCGTCTGTTTTAATTTTAAAACTTTAAACTTTATGATTTTTGTTGAAAAAGAGATGTAATTTTGCAGATATGAAAATAATTTAAATATAAATATGATCTTTTTGATTTTTTTGAAAGTGACATTTTAATTTTAAAATAGATGAGACCAAACCAGTCTCATATATTGAATAATTCAGATAATTGAGCTCAATACCACAAGTAATACACTTATCCCGAAGAATAAACATATCACTTATAGTAGGAACTCAATCACCTAAACTAAAAAATTTGTGACACCTAAACTAAAAAACTAAAAAATTTGTGACATCCGTTTGGTTTGCGAAATATTTTTATATGAGGTCAACAAGTTCTCCTACCTAGTGTAAGGATTAGATAGGTTTATTTTACTTGGGTCCTAAGTTCCCTATAGAGGCAAACTCCTATAGTTAATTACTAGTTAATTACATCTATAGTTAATTACATCTTAAATGACCAGGGTCATTTAAGAAAACTCTCGATTAAGATCAGTGGTTTTACCTTCCAGATTTCAAAGTTTAGGTTTCCAAGATTGAACATGAAAAAATCAAATGTGAGTGGCTAAAAAAGGAACAATTATTTTTAAGGAATTCAAATGAATGAAGAGTAGGGGACATCACAGATCCAGGGAAAACCTTGGTGACTTCCCAACTATCCTATTGTTTGGTTTTATGTCTTTGAAACGATGTTATTTAATGTTTAATCCTGTAACTTATTTAGAATTTAGGACTTACATTCGCACGATATTTGATCGTGCAAATAGCTTAAGAAGATAGGAGCATTTACACTGTGTCGTACGGTAACCTCGGAATCCTAAAGTGTAGGACTTATAATTTCACAACAGGATTGTGCAAAGACCTAAAAGTGATATGTGAGGGTTTATGCTGCGATAGGCAAACCACCTCGAAATCTTATGAAAGTCTTGTGTTGTTATTTAAACTAAGGAAAGTGCTCAGTGATGTGAACTTGTTTTGATGTTGCAAATCCATCTTGAAGTTGCTCTTCTGAATGTCCTCATTGCAGCACCTTTGGGTTTGTTATTAATCCTATGTAATCACTAGGTTTTCCTATACTAAGGTATAGTGTGTAACAAAACAATTAAGCATGCAATATAGAAGAAAAAGACAGTAGAATGTACAGTGAAAGGAAAAGAACAGTATAACATGCTAAGAGAACAATATAACATGCTAAGAGAACGTTATAACATGCCAGGAGAACGGTATAACATGTCGTGAAACAAAACTGTAATGTAAATCAGACCTGTATATTTGAGAGATCTGCTGCCCCTTCAAGCGAACTAGTATTCACTGTATAAACAAAAGAAAGACATTGTCTGGAAAACTCAAGAAAATCTACAAATAACCCACAACAAAACCTCAAGAAAATCCCGGAGAAAAGACCACGAGTGCTTTGTCCAAAATTCCAAGGAAACATATGAAAAAGTCTGAAATGGAGGGGCCCGCAACCACTCGGGTCGGGGCTAGGCTCAAATATATATATTTGTACTCGAGTGACGTCGAAGGCTACTATCGGTCACCCGAATGTATAGAACCGATACCCGCCACACAACTAGAATAATGTCCCACTAAACCTAACTTAGGAGGGTACTCCTTAGCCCGGTATTGCTAATCAACAAGTAGACAACCAAGTTATGACACTTTAAAATTTATATTTTAGCATGCACATATTTCAAGCATACAAAAAGAAAATTGTATTAATTTTATAGTAAAAATATTGTATATGTTCTTATCAGTTTGTTTTATCAATTTTTAAAAATTATAGTTGTTCACGAGTCGATCACGTCGTCGAACGTAGGACCGCCAACAACCTAAGAAGGTACGGGTCCCCTACTAGTCTTGTGTCAGTGAATGATACTTCCATCCTACAGTTCATTAGGTCCCAGAATTGAGTCTTGGTGTTGTAGGAAGAGATATCATTCTGCTCTACCACCGGCGTGCCTTTGTCATCATCGCCCTAAGCCCCAAAACAAACCGACCTACTTGCGACCTTACTTGATGGTTCTATATATAGCAAAAGGCTATATATGGACACTTATATATTAGACATAAACACAGAAAACCGAACCAAGAAGCAATAAAAAAAAGAATAAAAATGGGGATGAGAAAGATGAGGAATTGATCCACCCAAAATATTGAAAGAATAAAGGGTAAAACAATCCTCAAGACTGTGCCAAAAAGATCTAAACACCAGAGCCCAAGCTACTTGAATCATTCCAAGAAGGATATCATTTTCTCAAATTTTATAATTCGATCAACCCAAGAAGGGTATCCTTTCCAAATAGCAATTTTATGAGTTTTCAAACCCTTTCATGAATCCAATTTGCATCAACATTATGTTTCCTTCAAATGAAATTATACAAGTCTTTTATATTTCGCAAATTAGATAAAAAAAAATAATTCAAGGATAACAACCTTTTTGAACTTTTAGAAATCATGCTCATATCAAAATCTTTCAATTCCACTCTTTGTTAAAAGCTTTCCACAACTATAAATGTAATATCAATTTAGCAAATATAGAAGCGTTCATGGCCGGGGCAAAATGAAACTAAACAATTCTCAACAGGCTCATGGATAACAGCAGGAAGGAGATCAGGGCTCACGGGTAAGGCCAGGAAAGAGAGCAGGGCTCACGGGTAAGGGCTTCAAGAGAAAGACCACGAAGGCAACAAACACCAAGTAAGGCTCACGGCCAAGGCAACAAGAAGGAGACTCATCACATTTAATTTCATGGGTAAGGGTAACAAGAGGAAAAGGCACCACATATTTAAGCCTGACCCAACCACCTTCAATATAAAAGAACCATAGGAAGAACTCATAGCCAGAATAAAATGAGAAGCAAATTAAATCCCAGCCAACCACAACACAAATCACAACAATAAGGCTCGCGGGTAGGGGCAAAGAAGAAGGCCACAAAGGCAGCAAACACCAAGTAAGGCTCACGACCAAGGTAGCAGAAAGGAAACCACCATATGTATTTCCATTGTATTACCTTTGATATACATAAGAGAGTGAATAGACAAGCTACCATAAACTATCTAAACCGAAGCCATTTTCATCAAGTAAGACATGGTAATGAATTGATCAGCTTATTTCAAACATTCCCATATATAAATATATATTGAAATCATGAATTTTGGGACGACAAACTTGATTACCAATAAAAATCTTAAAAGGGAACATTATATCCAGAATTTCCAACTCAACCGAACCCAACACAAAGAGACAAGCAACATAAACCAGTGTTCTCGGGTAAGGGCAAGCAACAGAGAATCAAAGAACCAAGAAATGGAAGCTCACGGCCGGGGACAGCCAAGGGAAATCACCATACCACATTTAACATAAAAGTGCCACGGGAGAGGGCTCACGGCCAGGAACAGTAAAAGGAAACCACGAGCCCACATTCACCATAAAAGAGCCACGGGAGAGACTTCACAGCCAGAGACAGTAAAGGGAAGCCACCAACCCACATGAAAGCTCACAACCGAAAGACTCAAGGCCTGGAAAAGCAATACAAGGGCCCAAAGCAAGCCATATATTGTGCTGGAAACAACACCTAACCAAGCCAAAACAAAACTAAGCCCGAAACATTTTCAACATAGGGCCAACCTGAAAGTAAGGTCTAACCCAACAAGTGACCAAAACTCGGCTATCACAAGACACAAATCGAGCCCAGCACAGGGGCAAAACTAAACCATTTCAAAGCAAAACTGAGCCCAGCACAGGGGCAAACCTAGCCAGTAAGAAGAATAAAACAGGGAGCCAGAGAGAGTAAACCGAGCCCAGCAGGAAAGGGCAAACATAAATAGAATTCCAGCCAAAATCGAGTCCAGCAGGTAGAGTCAAAATAAAACACAATTTCAGCTCAACTAAAACCAGCAAAAGGGGCAAAAACAAATAAACCTCAAAGCCAAACTGAGTCCAGATCTTAGACAAAA